AGGGAAAAGAAAAATCAACACCTTGTATGTATTAATTATTTGGCCGGTTTCAAATCGACTCTAGCTCATTTTTGAAAAATCAAGGAAAATAATTTAACTTGGAAAAAAGTTCATTGCTTGGCGATGTAGAATAAATGTGTACAAAGAACAAAAAAGCAAATATTTCACTCAAGTTAGCCATAGCGCGAAAGAAATGCAAATCCGTTGTTTCTTCGTGTTCTGCACTTTTTCGTTGAGCATCCGGTATTTTTCTTTTTTGTAAATTGGTTCCCACTCGAGGAGTTATAGAAATAAAGTTTTTGGACGGAAGCGTCTTTTTGCAAATTTGCAATCACTTTCCATATACTGTGATGCGATCCACTGAAGTATGACTGTAAGCCATAATGCCAGCCCTCTACAGCATTTGTTCTGGCCAAACCCGATGACGCCGCATCCCTTTGATTCCATAATGAAGGGGGGAATAGGGCTTCAGTTAAATTTTTTCAGGTCTACTATCAGGGGCTAGTATTTTTAGGGCTTCTAAGAACCGGCAGTAAGTTTTTTGTTTTATTTGGCAGGAACGCATATATGCAAGCAGGGGCTATTCCTGAAAGACTAACGTGAATGGAGCTAAGTTGATAAAACATTCTAAAGTTCCATCAGCCAACCAAAAGTTGGATGTTTCAAGCACACGTAGCATTTCAGGGTCGCCGAATAAAACAATCCTTACGTGATCATTTTGCCCACTGTCAAATCTTAAAATTTTTTTGAAAAGATCGGGTATTTCGAAACTTCTGGTTGCTGGGGAGACTGGTAAGACTTCTTCTCGTTGCTAGCGCGCTCGTTGTGTGGTGCAAACTAATTTTTCTTTGTATGGTAGGGCTAGTTGAGTGGCAATGTCGTCTGTAATGGGCTGAATGGCGGTTGCGACTGCGACGGTTGGGGTGTTACTATCGCTTAGATCCTTGATGTTTTTCAAAACTAGTCGAGCTTCAGGTTTGCCCGTGGAAATATCGTGATTATGTTGACCCCTCGTTTCAATAAAGTTTTCTCCATCCGTAATTGCTGTTGCGCGGCATTTATGGGCTTGGTACTTTGAGCAGTTCCAACTTACCAGTCTCCCCAGCAACCAGAAGTTTCGAAATACCCGATCTTTCCAATTTGTTGTCTTGTTTTTGCGTTTAAGTTAATACTCGTGGCCTGATACCACTAGCATTTGTTTGTCTTTCGAAGATAAAATAAAATGGAATGAAGCTTCAAACATTATATCTGATCTGATAGAGTGGTATAACAATGGTTAAAGAAATAGGCAGTATGATTCTTTATAAAACTCACAAATGTCATTTGTTGCCTTCAATTACCGCCATGTAGGTTATCTCTGTTTTAAACGCGTGAGTGAGGGATTATTTCTCTAACTAATCGAAATGCAATTTTTTTGAGATGCTAGAGGCATCAAGTGAATTAAGACTTAGCTTTTCAGGCCTCAATTAGTAAACTTAATTGGACTACTCCCGTACTTATAAAAAGGACTTAATTTGAAACAAATTATCGTTATTAAAAGGGGGTTAAAGTTTTGTGGGGTTATCATGTTACGGGGTTATAATATAGGGGGTGTAAACATAGGGGGTTAAGTATCATAAGGTTAAAGAGTGGGACACCCAACTCTAGTCTTCATGGCAGTATTTCATATAAATTTGAGTACGGAAAGGTTTCGAAAAACTGTCTTAAATGGTGGAAAAGACGCAGAGGACTTTGGTGTTAGCCATTGCAAGCACGTACAAGCGGAGTGCCAATGTAGCAGAAATGAAGAATCGTGCGGCTATGGAAGTAGAAATTTCTCAGCACGAAACGATTCCCAGAAAGCGCATAGGAGCAAGAGGCGTGTTAGAACGCTATCACGTAGAGCATGCTAGTGTTCTACTTAAGCTGCTGATCGACCGGAAGTGAAACTTTCATGAAGACACACGATTCACAAGAGACGATTACATACAAGAAATACCGATCATGTAGAGCCAAGATACAAAGGAGAGGATGAGCCAACAGGAGCGTGCAAAAGGAATAACACAAAAAATAAAACGAAGAAAATAGAAAGAACAAAAGAATCGACAAAAACTACAAAAAAAACAAAGCGTTTCAAATAATGTTGAGTGAGACGTTGTAACATAAATAAAACGCATAAATAAAAAGGGAAGGGAAAGTACGAATAACAACATTGCTAAACAATTTAAATGACTTGAAAACGTATGATATGTTATTTTATAGATAGCTAAATAACATATGAAATATGAATTTCAAAAATAAGTTTGTATCGAGATAACCAAAATTGGCAACAAAAACTAGGTGAACTGAAAAAACAAAGAAATCAACCTCATGAGATGCTGAAGAATAACTTAGATAAGCCAGTTTTCAAAAAGAGTATTGTAGGTCGAGAAAATCATTGTAAAAAAGTTGAAAAGATGAGGATTACACATCTATCAACGGAAACGAAGTATACACGAGCTAAAAAATGTTTGATGGAGATTCGAACTCCTGCAAGCAGCAGATGGACCAAGCTTGTAACCACTAGACTAACAATCTCGAGGAAAACATTGAATTTCAATTTAACGCAGGTAGACAGTATATAAACTAGATTTAATGAGTTGGAGTAGAAGAAACAAATTATGTAGTAGAAATATGATGGAGCAAAAGAAGATCGTTTTGGCTCCCTAAGGGTAAAAAGAGGAGAAACCGCGTATGATTGGCCTTCAAAATGAAACCACTCAAATATACTAATATTCCTGCCGTAGTATCTTATCAAAATTGAGAAAACATGCAATTCAGAAGGGCACTGGATGATGGCATTGAGATTGCCAAAAAAAGCCAGGTCAACTTCTGGTACATTTGTAAGGAAAGTTGTTTAATGGGGAAAGGAAAATCAAATCTGATCCAAATTCTGATTGCTTCGTATACCTAAAATGCTTATCACGAAAAACATACATTGCCTTGCAATTATGAAATTCGAAATGAATGGCAGTTACTCAAATCCAACACATTTAGAATTTAGCAGCATAGCTAACAGACGATTGAAAAAATTCATTAAATCGAGAAAACCGAAAATATTTAAAGTTTAAATTTAATTATTCAACATTAGAATTACAAACTGAAAAAAAATCATCCCGTTAAATCATTTTGAATATCAGAAATCTTTTATGGTTGATATTTTTGTGATAAAAACAACGCAAAAGGTCATCTTTTTCTTCCGCTGAGAATTGTGAAAAGTCTATTTTTATTGTAATTAATTCACGTTTCTTTTTCGCGCCAGTTGCAGTTTTGTTACTACGACGCGTCATTCAAATGAAATTTAAGTAGAAATCGAGAAAAAACAAGAAATCTTTAGAAAAACAAATAACCACATGAGCTAAATAACCTTGAAAAACTAAACGCTCGCGCATAGAGTCCAATTTTATTGGAGGGGTTTGGGAGCAATGAACTAGTAACTTTTCGGAGCATTCTAGATTCCACGAATCACATAATAGGCACAAACAGTACCATCACAAAATTATACACCCAAAGAATGTGATCCTCTTCCGACTTGGCTTAGAAAAACAATAGAAAGTTCATGGATCTCGAATTTCAAAGTCAATTGCAATACACCAATCTTTTTGGCGAGTTTTCCAGGAGACATCAAAGTATCGGTTGTTTGTCCTCATCATAAAAAAATACTCCTCAGCCACTGAATTACGGAACAAATATCGGCCAAAATCTAATCCAATGATGCTTGCTAAACTAATGAAACGTTTAAAGCATTCACAGATCTTCAGTTACATCGAGGAAAGCATCCGTTTGGATGAAAGGTAATCTGCCTGCCGAAAACTAGACTCATGTGGAACAAATTTATTGAAAACGGTAACCGCATTGATTTAGGTCAAAACTCAAATATAGGACAAACTGCGAGGTGCGTTTGATACTTTTGATGAGCGTTTGACAAAAAAATTAACGGAATTTGTATTGAAAGGTTAAGTTCTGAAGCTGGTCGAAATTTATCTCAAAAACCGCAAATATTTGGAGTGCAAATCACACAAAAAAGATCGCCCTCCAGTAACAAACGGAGTACCCAAAGAATCACGTGATATTTCTATATAAAGAAAAAAAACGATTCTTGTGAGAAGACAATCGTATCATTTATCAGTCTATTTTAGCAGAATAGATTATTGCAATTCGCTGCTTGATAGGACGCCGATACAGGAGCTAGCGCCACTCCAAAAAACACAGATTTTTGCAGCATACTTTATACAGCCTTCATCGGTTCTGTAGTACCAGCCTTCATCTCAAAATTATCATCACCATCGGGTTTATTTATAATTTTTTCGGGATTCACAAAAACTCTGGATCAATAAAACTACTGAGTCTCCACGAAGTGTAATATTGGTATTTGAATAAAACTATTCTGAGAGTTTTCTTGAAACTTTCATTAGTTTCAAAATGCAGAGAAATTTGTAGTTTGTTTGATAGCTAGCAGCCTACATTGTCAAACGCTTTCGAGCCTTGCTAAGTGTTCTTTTTGCGTACCTCGAGGAGTAAACTATCATCCACGTCCTTTGATCGACAACTTTAAATTCATGACCTTCATTGGCTTCTCGTATATAAAAGATCGAAACATTTTACAATCCGAATGTCATTGCTCAGTACTAAATGAATTCTAAATTTCAACCACAGGAAAGAACTTGACAGTAGGCTGCAAGATATGAAACAAACTACGAATTTCTATGCGTTTTGAGATAAAAAAAAACAGTTTCATGAAAACTCCGAAAATCATTCTATTCAAACAACAATATTATACTATGTAGAGACTCAGTGCTATTATTAACCCAGAAGCACTTCTGAATTCCGAAAGAAATGGATAAATAAACCCGATGATGATGATGATGATTCAGGCAATCACACAAATTGGCACATACGAGCTACCCTAATCATAAAATCAAATAATACGTAAATCATCAACTGTTGCATAAAATATTGTTGTTAAAAAGCTGAAAACTTACTCCTTGGACAAATTTAGCCTCCAGTTTTTCAGCATCTTGGCTTGACTTGGGTAATAACATTTTTTCATCTTGTTCCGGTCGAGATTTTTCATTCCGATCTTTCTCCGCTTTCTGCTGTGTGTCACATAGCATTGGGAAATCTGAAATAAAAAGAGTTTGATAAATCGATGATTAAATTCTGATCGAGTAGATTAAATACTTTCATTGACAGCAAAAAAACGTAAGATGATCTTAAATTTGCCGCTCAGGCGCTGGGGGGCAGATGCCAATATTTACTTATTTTGAGCGCAAAAACAAGACATTTTTCGGCCAAGTCTTCAAAAACTGAAAATCAACATTTTTTTTCAGCGCAATTTTTTAAAGTAAAGACTCTTTTATCCAGCTTTTCAGAGATCTCGAAACGCCAAATAAAAAATTAGAATGTTTATTATTATTTAGATAGTTTCTAGGCAATAAAACGTACAGTACTGGTAAAGCGTTGTTCCGACTTTTGAAGAAAGTAAGGGAGTATTTGTGCTCGGCGAGCTTGTATTTTTTTCTAGACAAACTTCGACTTAAATCGTTCTAAGTCAAAGTTTACATGATTTCTTTAGTTTTATCTGGAAGCTATTTACGCCTTGAGCTTAACTTTAAAAAGATAGTTCACCTATGATCAATTTTCGGAAGTTATGGGGGTTTGAATATTGCCAAGTTTCGAAAGCTATTTCAATGAGTTTAAGCGGTAGTCGGGACGGGACACTCAGGGCTTTGCCCTGGCACGAGCAGTCTTGTTTGCTTGTCATTTCGCTCGCTGGTACTTCAAAATTTATGGGTAGCTTTTGTTGATCCGACCATTTGCAAATTGCGGAGAAACTTTGTATTCGGGTGTTTTAGTTTTTTCTTTTCCACGCAAAATCAGGTACCACAAATACTCATCGGAATGGGTCGAGTTGTATATCATATTAAAGCCTTTTTTAGTCGTGATCGTTAAATTGTTTTCTGTGTCGACAAAAACCGATTTGAAATTCCAAAAAAATAGGACAACAAAGTACTGACCACAATCACAAACAGCTGGCTTTCTCAGTTTTCTAAACGTATATGACACACGAGTGCCTCTTTCAAACGTCTCCCGTTTTCCAGTCTTCTGGTCCAAATAGGAATCGAATTTTCTCGGAACTATTCCATGTTTCCAAAGATACCTCGATTCTTTCTCAAATATAGTTAAACTTCTTCTGGGCAGCAGTACTGGTGTTTTTCTCACCTTAAACAAATGTTTCAAAAAGAATTATTTATAGCCATTTTCAATTTTAAAGCTGTTCGAATACTGAGTCGAATCGTTTTTACGAATCAACATTCAATTTAAATTACCATTGACCAAAAACAACTCGAAAAAAAAAACATTTGGACAAACTGTGTCGTCAGGCTTTGCGATGGGACTTCGGACCGTCATGGTTTTTCAACCACTTCCATCCTTTCAAATTTCCTCCGATTCTTATTCTTTTCACCCCCGGTTATCTAACTATCCATTGCTTAATCAAATAACAAGGATAGCCGGTTACTGAGCAAATAGCACAGAATGTTCCGACTATAGACTTAACAAATACAAAAATGTTTTTCAAATAGTATCGTTTTTTTTTCTGCGAGTTGTGATAAAAAGATTTGAGCGATAAAAGTAAAACTAGGGTATATTCGACATCCATAATAAAACATGCAATATGGACAACAGTTGTTGTAGAAAAAAGACAAGAAAATCAAACAATCAATAAAAAAAATCAAAAAGTTAGAAGTTTTTGATTCCAGAAATTTCTCTTACAAAAATCCAGAAAAATAACTTTTCTCAGCTAAAACAAAGTTTTCGCGGCTTAAATAAGTTGAAAAAAGCAATTGTAAGGTTTCTCGCTCGCCTTTAGTCGCTTCAATTGGACTAAAAAAAACGATCGAACACAAACCGGTATGAAGATTATTTCTGGCACCTGATTTTACGTTGAAAACAAAAAAAGTTGAAAAATAACTAAAACATCCGAATACAAAGTTCCTCCCTCATTTTCAATGATCGGAACAATAACTCAAATTTATTGAACATAATTTGAATTCTTCACAAATCTAGCCAGATAACACAGAGGCGAAGCTGTGCTTCGCAAACACTAGCGAGAAAACGTCAAAAGTGAACTCTAAGAGGTGAAATTAAACAAGCTAGAAACAAGCCTCGAATAAGTATAACTTTTGCTAAGAGTCGGATCTAATAAAGCGATCTCGAGATTCGGAATCTCACAACCAATTCTTTCAGCCACCGTTTCCTAGCGACCGGCAAGCACTAGCCACAATTAAAGCAGAGAACAGATGCTACGAAATTACCAATGCTACAGATCGTGATTATAGAAAAAGTGCCACCGAATAAGTGAACACTTTCAATGAACACTTTTATTTGCGAATTTGGTTAGAAAAAAAGACGGTTCGTACTAATACAGTACGCTGCTTACTAGTGTAACAAATGATCTTTTCAAATAATTTTCCAAACGCTACCCGTAAAATTCAGGGAGCATAACTTTTACAGCTTATTCTCTCATTTTCTGCTTAAAAAAATTGAAATTTGCTGCATAATTACATCGCTGCAGTCACTTATGTTTAATTTTGCTCTGAGCTTTCTTGCAAATCTTTAATATTTTTTTTAACCTTAGAAGAGGAACATCCGATAGCAGATTGGTCATCACTTAACAGCTGATCAGCTGAGTTTAATTTCATCTCCATGACACATGGTGATCCCAATGACAGAGATAGAAGAGACTCCGTGAACACACTGTGAGTGTCAACGTGACTTGGGATCCCATGGCCTAAAATTTAAACGATGACAAAAATGATTTGAAATTTGAAGCTACTAAGGTACCCAATTCATCCCACATAAAATTAAACCTTATAGCCCCAAACCCAAATACAATGAATATTGAATTTTATTGTGAGGACTATGATGGAAAAATCGCTAACTCATAACTCCATGCATCAACAAATTAACGAAAACAAATGAAAACGATCGAATAAATTGAGATGTTCTGTTGATTACATATCTTTGCTGTTTTCGGCGACTTAAATCGCTCGCTAATTTTGATTAGCTGTCATTTTTTTCATCAGCTTCAGCTTTAATTAGTAACTACGAGTTTAAATAATAAACCTTCCTTATTCGTTTCAACCGTATTTTAATTGCTTGACAGTATTCACCGATTCTAATTAAAAATCACTATGCTAATTTTCAATAGAGTCTTTGAACTATTAGAGACAAAATTATCGAGAAACAATTATTTTAAGCTTGATCGAACTAACGGAGCATTTCACATACCAGGAGCATAAACATTGACTGTGAGTTGATCTGGCAACTCTGGAATTCTGCCTTCTCCAACCATTCCATTCAAAAACCAGTCAAAGCACGCCTGGGGAATCGGAGGGGGAATTTGGGATCCATCCGAGTGTTCGTCCACTCCATTTGTGTCGTAGTTGAAATTGTAGCCAAAATGAACCACTCTTCTATGTTTCAGAATGTCACTTGCTTTACTTCTGAAAAAACAATTCCAGATCCAATTATTCAAAGCTGAAGATTGTTTAACATTCAGACTCTGAGACCTTGAGAGTTTTTTTAGACTAGTGCAAATATTGTGTTGTAGAATCATATGTGGGGGTTCAAAGTGGAAAACCCATTCGTTTACTAAATAGAAACAGAAACTTTTAGCTACTCACTCACTGTTATTTTCGCTCTCCAATCTGTTCATGGCCAATTTGATCAGCAGCTGTTCACTCTCTTCACTAATGACGTCATGAATCACTTCCATTCCGGGTGGGAGAGAAGAGCCATCGGAGAGACATTCTAGTCAAGGAGAAAAAAATATTAACTTACAAGTTTAGTATGATAGTTGGGTCCCTAAAACTAAGATGAGTCCCCGAAGAAAAGTTTCCAAACCATGGTTCGCATTTGTTTACTTATTTTTGAAGTTTTTACAGAAAATGCGGAACCCATCGGCTCTTTTCCCGCCCCCCTTCAAACTCAACGAAAAGCTTATTTAACATTGTCATAAGGCAATGAAATTAGGTGTGGTGAACAAATCGACAACTGTGAACAGATTTGTTCTTCATACCTTACAGCGTAACATCACGCATTTAGCCGTAATAACACGTAAAACAAACATAAAATTCGGTAGTTTGAAAGGTGGGGGGGGGGGACTGGAAAAGAGCCAACCCATCTTTCAAGCTTGCTTTTTCCTGAGACCAAACTAACAGACTTGTAGCAATAGTAATTTAAAGTTTCGGATCTCTTTAACACCCACTCTACGGTACCTAGTAAAAACTTTATCACGCCTGTAAACAACTAAATCAATGATTTTAGATGCATATGCGGATTTCGAACCCAGCAGCGAATGTTTCCCAAACTGCAGAATGGGAGGGGTAGCTATGAGATCCAAAAGTCCTAACGTTAAAATAGTTTGAATTCTTTTATTGAAATCTTTTAATACCTCAAAATTCTCTAAGATATACATAACTTCCAATTGCAGTAGAAACCAACTCTAACTCATATCTAAATGCACGTGGTTTTGTTTCTCACAACACGAAAAAACTGTTCAATTAATAGTTTTTAAAACCTTGAATGTCCAACGCAAAAAAAAATTAAAATTTTTTGATTACCTGCGTTAAAATTTGCTCTCTTTGACAACCACTCATCCAGATTCTCCACATAGAAACAATACAAAACTCTTCTCGCTTCCCGACTATTGTTACTACTCCTGTCGACATCATCAGGAGCCACAAATCCGTCGAAACATTCAACAAAACTCGTACTGTCGTTTTCCGATTCGAATAAAACGACGCTATATGATTTCGTTTCGAACATGAAAATCTCTTTCGGAGCTTTTATTTTATCATCCGATTTAACGAGTTCATTATTATAAACATTTGGATAAACATCCTTTTCGCTTAATTTAACCTGGTTATGATTATTTACCAGCGAATAGATATCTGTACAAGTGAACCCATTGACAAGTCCAGCGTTTTTGAGAATCACTGTGTTTGTTGGCGTTTCACTGATCTCGAAGCATTCGTTTAAAATCGATTTGAGATGCTTCTTTTTCTTGAAGTCTTTCATAGGTACAGGCCTGAAAGCTTTCAATGTCTATTTTGAAGAATGACTCATGATAACCGAATACTAGCACTGGTCTGCATATAAAACATTAAGTCGTAAGCATAAAAAACCTGATTTTTGTTTACTTTGATGAAAACGATGCCAAATTTTTGCTCATACCCAGCTAACGGTACCAAATTTGAGAATGATTTCTCATTATGAAAAAAAAATTCGGAAATTATTTTAGTCGGGCAGATAAAATAGCTCACAGAAAACAAATTTATCGCTAAATTCTATTTCAGTTTAGTTTCGGAGAATCATCAAGACTCATTAATAAATACATTTGGGAACCAATAACTAATCTCTCCGCCCTGTTTATCAACCCATGCTAACTCTTCTTTCAACAGATACTCCAGAGCTCTATCTACTCTTTCTTCTTGCCAGTTAAGTCCAGATTTTTCCAGATACGATTTCGATATTTGGCCTCCGTTTTTCTCAGCCAGAGCTAGTAACGCCGTGTGATCCATGTTCAATTCACCGGGAACTGATTGAATGAAATAGGATTTGTTGATTGGAATTAAAGCAAAACCATCTCCAAGTTTCTGCAAATTATTGGCTCATTTCTAGATTTTATTGATCATTTTCTCCAAGCTCCAAAATTTTCATTCAAAAAAGCAATTAAAAATTCATACGTGCCAAATTATGCGAAATCAAGTCAGTCTAAAAAAAGACGTTGAAGATATGTCTTGGTTGTTTTTAAAAAAGAGAAATTTCGCTCGTCTATTTTTTTGGTATTAACATCATTTTGAAAAATATCATTTTGGAAAAGTTAGGAACCTAGAAAAGAGCCCTTTAATTTCCCGATAGCTCGAACAATGTCATCATTTGACACCTGGTTGTCAGTTTTTCTTGTTTTGTTCAGTCGCTTTCTCAAGTCGTCAATGGGTATCAAACCTCCATTTAGAGGTCTCGTAGCCATACAAACTTCAATAATCTGCACGCCTGAAAAAAAAACTGCCTTACTGTAGATAAAAACGAAAATTCAATCCGTGTCTGAAAATTTGTGTCGCATATGTTAATGCCTCGGCCACAACTGCCCAAAACTGAAATCTACCCATTAACACTGGCCCAAAAACTGTCCAAAACTTCTTCAGCCAAGCAAAAAGCCATTAGCAGAGTAAAGGAATGAAAACGGCCCAAAAAACTGAAAGCAAAATTTTTAATTTGTTATAAAACGCCACAATTGCTTAAAAAAGTGGCGAACGCTTTCTTCATTTTGACTCTTGATCTGATGATACAAAATGAGAAATGGTTTTCACCCCGTTCCCAGGACTGGTAGAGACTGAATTAAATTGTGAGCAAACTTTAACCGTGTTTTATCTTTTGGCCCGATCGGGTGAACCGTTTTCGATATATTTCCATTTTACCCGATTTACGTTTTTTATTCCAATTTTAGACAAAACAGCAAAAATTTCGTCCGACCCAAGATTCGAACTTCCGACATTCTGATCTTGAAACCAATAACTACTCCGCTCTGCAAGCGGCGCTCTGAAAAAAACTTTGTTTCTTTTAAACTAGTCTCGCTTGAGTGGTCTACGGTCCGTTAGCACACACAAGATCTAAATATAGTATGCTCGAACAAACCCAAAATATCTGAGCCTAACAGACCATAACATCAAATCACAGAAAATCAATTCGAACATTTTTTCAGGACACATAAGTCAGGGACACCTATGCATATGCACCCAACCCCAAAAAATATGAAAACCAGTTTACAATTTATCAAAGCATCAATTAATTAATTGTTTTCATGCTTCTCTTTATCGCTGAAATTTAAACGGTGGCTTTGGCTAGTGGTAAATGCAATGGTTTGTTGTTTTTCTGCTTTTTAGTTTCTGAATTCTTCGTGAAAAGGAGAAGAATCTTCACTATTTTACACCAGAATTTGCAATATAATTTTTACCACATTTTACAGTATCGTATCATAACTCAGTTGGTCTTGATTCGGATTCCAATAAAAGTAAAAAAAATAAATTCAGTTGGTCAATCAAAACTCAGTTGGTCTTAATTCGGATTCCAAAAAGAGTATAAAAAACATTAAGCATAACCAGTTGCTAAGCAAATAGCACAGAGAATTCCAATTTTTGAAGAACAAATAGATGGCATTAAAGCTCTTCGAATTTGTAGAACAACTTTTGATGGACACTTTTTTGTTAAAATTAACCCATTTTGAGAAAACTGGCTCAATATGCAAAATTTCAATTTCGCTGGGAAATCTGATAATTAATTTCCAATTTCAAAATTGGAAGTCGATCACGTTTTTCGTGACCTTTACAATTTTGCTGTTCGATAGTGGAGTGTGCCTTCCCTTTAACAATGGAAATGCACTGAATTTAAAAATAAATCACAAGTCAAACCGCGAAAAATCAAAATTGAGCGTGAACAAATTTTAAGACTTTTTCTCGAAAGATAAACAAAAAAAAAATCAGCAAGACCTATATAAGAGTGCTACGTTCAGAACTAAACCATTTTTTTTTCAAGCAAACAAAACCATAACGACCAAGCAGGGGCGGATTTAGGGGAGGGGGGACGCCCCCCCCCCCTCAAGGATTCGACACCCTGCCGACCCAAAGGGTCCCCCCTTTGATACTTTTTCAGAAATCCATTTTTGGTCGACCGACCCTAAAATTTTTCTAAAGGCGCCTTTGGCGCCAATATATACTAACTTTGAGAGGAAGCGCGCGCCAAAAAATACGCGATTTTTTGACTGTTTTTTCAAAAATTTGCTTGCGGCGCAGAAAAGTGCTTTGGGAGACCTCGAAAAATCAATTTGGTCGACCTAAAAAAAAGGTCGTCAAAATTTTCGATTTTTTTTTGAAAATCCCCCCCCCCCCCTCCTCGAGAAAATCCTAGAACCGTCCCTGCGACCAAGCAAACAAACCCATTTTTTTTCCAGTTGATTGACCAGCCGGTTAAATGTGTTGTTAGAAAATTTTCATGAACCAGTTAGTTGTTTACTGCTACGATTTTGAATGATAGTTTAAAAGCTCAAATCGTCGGCAGATTCAGCGCTTTTGCAACTAAGCCGACAGAAATAAGCAGACAAACAATAGTCCAAGCATTTTTGCCAGGCTGAAAAATTTACGTTAGCATAAAAAGCTCAGTTCCTGGTCAGATACGAACCCACGACCTTTGAATTCCCACGTGTTCCCTTTACCTCCATCACAAACAGGCCAATTTAAGGTTAACTTACAAAGCCTGTTTCCCCATTTGATAACGCTTGCAAAAAAGCATTATCAATTAAGTCTATTATTAATTTTAATTGTAAATTATAAATTTTGAACAATCGTTCCTTCTGGCATGAGCAATTCCCTCTATTTTTTTCTAACGCATGTCTACCTAATTCGTAATAATAATCTCCAACTCCCAATGTCTGTGCCCAATAGCCCTTGCTCGAAGCCAGAGGATCCACTCCTATTTGGGCACACATTTGCTGGAAGTGAGCTCTGAATTCTGGATTCTTCTTCAGATCCGTTCTGTGTTTGACTGCAAAATCTTCCAAGTTGGTTTTGAATACTGTCATTTGTTTGATCATGTGTTGCAGTTGGTCAGCTGCTAACTCGGCGCCTTTTTCCTAAAAACATTTATCCATCTAAACTCATTTAAAAATTTGAACTTATAACAGGACAACCCGTAAAATCTTTGTCTTTTGATAAGAGACAAAGTGCGACAAATTTCAAATTTGGCAAAAAAAACAGGTGAGGTCAGGGGCGGATCTAGGATTTTCTCGAGGGGGGGGGCGGATTTTCAAAAAATTTTGACGACCTTTTTTTTTTTTTAGGTCGACCAAATTGATTTTATTTTTCGCGCTCTCCTAAAGCACTGTTTTGCCCTTATTTTGGCAAAACTTTCTGCGCCGCAGGCAAATTTTTGAAAAACCAGTCAAAAAAAGCCGTTTTTGGGCACTTTTTGAAAAATTTTGACCAAAAAAAATGCGTTTTTTTGGCGCGCGCTCCCCCTCAAAAATAGCATTTATTGGCGCCGAAGGCGCCTTTAGAAAAATTTTAGGGTCGGTCAGCCAAAAATGGATTTCTGAAAAAGTATCAAAGGGGGGACCCTTTGGGTCGGCAAGGGGTCAAATCCCTGAGGGGGGGGGGGGGGGCGTACGTCCCCCCCCCCAAATCCGCCCCTGGGTGAGGTGCTGTTACAAAGTCAAAACAAAGTGAACAATCTCTTTTTAATTTAAGCTTTCGAATTATTATCTATAGCCAATTTATCTTTCGGGCTATTATGGCGATTGAGTTGTTAATTACGTATAGTTCGTTGGCAGAACAGCAAAAAAAAATCCAAAAAAAGATTGTTAAGTAGATCCCTTGAAAATTTCGCTGTAGATAGAAAATGAGCTGTTTTTTTTGGGTCCCATACTAGAATAGGTAGCACATTTCAAATCATTTATCGAAGAAAGGTTCAGCCAGGATTCGAACCCGGGTCTTTCGACCAACTGCCGCGTGCACTACAGTTACGGCAAAATAAAAATTACTGGAAAGAAATGGATATCACTTTATATCTTAATATCAGCTGCTACAAAAGATTCCAAAAGCATTTCAAATTTACTCAGCAAACCAAATGGATCCAAAATTGGTAATGATATTTCCACAAAAAAAAAGACTTTAAAAGAAGTCTCAAGATGGTCTACGACCAACCTGTAGATCAAGATTTCGAATCGATATTTAGATAACAATAGACACGCAGTACCGTTGCACTAAGCGACAATTAGAGAAACATTTATTAACCTGTCAATCAAAAACTCTGTCTTTGAGGGGGCCAAGGAACTTAGACAAGAAATTAGACGACCGTAAAGACACGGAACTTACGGACAACCAGTATTTGGGGCCTAGGAAATTAGACGATAAGCAAATTCGACAGATGCGACAAAAATGTAATTCGACGGATTTTTTTTTACAGATCTGGCATTTTAGACGTCACTGCTATGAAAACTAAAGAGCCAACAAAACTTTTTCTTAACAATTAGAGCGACAATTAGAGAAACATTTAACCTGTCAATCAAAAACTCTGTCTTTGAGGGGGCCAAGGAACTTAGACAAGAAATTAGACGACCGTAAAGACACGGAACTTACGGACAACCAGTATTTGGGGCCTAGGA